AATTAATCTTCAGTTGTAGATACCATCATTTAGGACAACCGATTTTTCATATTCTACATTAAGTAGAAGACTTTCTTTTCTTCTTTTCTTTTCTTTCTTTCTTTTTCTTTCTTTTTTTTTTTTTTTGGATATAGGGCGCGTGCACTCACTGGAAAGAGACAGAGGCAGAGAGTGAAGGAAAGTGAGAAATCTCCCATGGGGAGATGTCTTCCACAATCCCTTCTCCATTCTCCTCTTAGAGTCTTGGAATTTTGAGCACATGCACACATGCAAGCTGCTAGATCCAGGTTGGAATCGGCTATGAGGGATCCAGCTGCCCTAACCTCCATGCTCCTGCTGGTCCAGGAGACTTCTTTCACGTATCAAGGTTTAGTTGTCGAAAAAGCTTCCATTCTTGGCCTTTTTCTTAATCTCATACCTCTCATACCTCTCCTTTTCTGTAATTATTAATTTCCTTGCTGGTCAACTCTCATTACCCTGGGAAAGAATCACTTTATAACGATTTATAAACAATTTATGACTGCATTCTGCTGGTCCTCCACAATAGCCTTGGGTCTCTAAGCATTTCCTGCTTGATAAGGAACTGCTTTGTGTGCCAGGCATCGTTTTCTCTGCACCACGTGGCTCCATCTTAACCAGAGAGAGAGCATGCAGAGCCACTGGCTGGTCCATAGCCGAGATTCTGTAACTACCGGGTAGTCGGCAAAGTCAGGATGCATTTTCACATAGACAAAAAACACGTCATGATCTTTCTGATGACCCAGTCAATGTCTTTCTCCAACCAACCAGTCTCTAGTCTCTTTGATTCTTCCTTTACTAAGTCCACTTTCTGAAGTGGGGCGCATGTGTAATAAACAGAAATAAGGGCTTCTTAGGCCAGCCATGTGGCCTCGTGGATCCCACATGGATGGCTACCGTTCGAGTCCTAGCCCCAGTGGCCTAAAATAGACATCTGCCCCAAATCCCGAGAAGATGAGAAATAGGAGAGAAGGGGTTGTGGTGTGACCATGCACTGTTGAGGGTGCTTTCTCTCCCCTCTCTCTCGCTTTCTCTGTCTCTCTCTCTCTATGGAGGTCACATACACCCTCTGGCAAAGAAGGAAGGAAATCAGGCAACTGAGGCATTACTGTGCTAATGCCAAGTGGATGCAGCAGGCCAGGGTGCCTCTGGGGTCCAGGCACAGGAGAGCAGGGAGGGGTACTGTCTGCTGGAGTCCTTAGGGGAGGTGGAGGGCTCCCCAAATGGACCTAGGGCACAAGGAAAAGAACAAGTGCATGGTGTGCACGCTCGCTTCCCGGGGCTACCTGGTGAGGGACCATGTGCTAGGCGTCTCAGAGCAGCGAAATGCAGTCAAATCTGAAACCGAGGTGTCACCAGGCCCTGCTCTTCCGTAAGGCTCCAGGGAAGAATTCTTGCTTCCCCTTCTCTAACTTCTCCCGGTTACAGCAATTCTCGTTCCACCCTCTGCTTGGTCTTCCTGTGGCCTCTGCCCTGAGTTTCTCCTGGACAACCATCATTAGATTTAGTCCAGCCTAACCGGCATGACCTCATCATAACTACTTATATCACAACACTGTGTTTACAAACAAGCTCACGTGCTGGGAATCCGGGTGGGCACAAATTTTGGAGTGACACCATCCTACCCACTGCAGCAAATATTCAGAAAATAGTTGGGTGTGAGTGGGCCGTTTGTCAGGGAATAGCAGGGACAGGGAGGACCAAGGAAGATGCTGAGCCCTGGTGTGCAGCGTAGAGTCCTCCCACAGTAGAGGTAGAAATAAAGCAGCTAGCACTTACAGGGCAGCTGCGGCCAGCTGGGCGTAGTTCTCAGCACATACCACCATTACCCCATCTCAGATGTGGGGGTCCAGGCACAGGGAGTCTGAATAAAGCTCCCGTAGCCAGAAACTGCCAGAGCCAAGATTCGCATCAGGGCATGTGGCTGGACAGCCCACACTCTTTATTCTCATGCTATAAACCTTTCCTTCTAAACGTTTTAATGTATTTTAAATTTTAAATACATTTGACCAGAACAGGAAATGTGGTGGTTCCTCCCCAGGGCAGTGTGCTTGTGAGCAGCAGAAAGGTGTTCACTGTGGCTACTGGCCTGGAGAAGAAAGCCACTCTTGCCGCTACTGCCTTTTTTTTTTTTTTTTTTTAAATGGGTTTTTGCCTTTGGGGCACTTGG